AAATCTATTCTTCATGCAAATGGTACCCACTGAAATTTTTGAAGGAGATTAACAAATTTGCTCAAGTTTAAAATACAATTGATTTAAGATGCATGATTATCATTTATCAATTTGCCAATTATAGAGCATTAGCTATAAGATGCATCACATATCAGAGATAAAATGTAAAAAGTGGAGTTTAAAATAGATGAAAATCGGTATCAATGGCAGAAGCCTGATGACTTTAGATAACCATATAAAAATTTTATAAAATATCATTTTTGTATCCTTTTTTCTTTATATATCAGGAGATTCTCTTTGAAAAGTGAAAATATAATTAATGTAAATTAAAATATTTGTAACACTATTTGCTGACTTTTGTAATTCAGGTGGTTAGATGAATTTAATGAGGCCAAGGACTTCAAAATTATCCCAAATGTGCCAGTTAATAACCAGGAAAATCATTTTTGCTCAAGGCACCAGTCTACATTCCTTTCTAGAAATCAATTTTGCAAATGCATACTACTTATCACAAAACTACCAGAGTAGACACAGTCACAAAATTATAGAATTAAAGAGGTGGAAGAGATCACAAAATTTATAAAGTCAAAACACCCTCAGTGCGCATATCCCCTCCAAGACACTCCCAGTAGAAGCTGGCCCTTCAGCTTCTACTCTACATTCTTCCCTGCAAACTGTAATCCCATGAGGTCCGAGACTCTGTCTTGCTTACTATGGTAGCATCCTGAATGACATACTGTAGTCATTAAATATTTCTGAGTGACTGAATGAGTGTTCTTATGGGGGAATTGTACCATTTATGCAGTATCCATTCCTGTAGAAGAGCTCAAATTTGAGAAGTATTTTTAAAGGGCAGCAAAAGTCACCTCTGGTGTCTCTGAGAAAATCTGCCCCCTCTTCTTATGTTAGCCTTGCAAATACTTGCAGGCAGCAGTTCCAAGCCACACTTTCCTGTTTCAGTCCACAGTTTGACACATATCACTGTTTCCAAGACTTTCTACTGTGCCCTATATGAGCTACATTTGGTCAGTTCAAAAACAAAAACAAAACAAAAAAAACTTCTGATGCCCAGAATGAAATAATTATTTACCTAGCCAGCCCAGGGCACAGAATTGTCTGACTAAATGTATGCAAATCCCTTGCTTTGGGGGAAAAGTTCTTCAAATGGCAGTATCATGCTGATGAGGGATCTTTCAGAGAACACTAATAGGTAAAACTGCGAACTCCCCTAGCAGGCTTCATTCATCTATTAAGGACACCTCAGTGAGGGACTAGGACGCCAAGAGAGAGTGATGCATTATACTCCTCATGCAATTAAACCCATAGTAAAATATTTTGGGGAGTTTTCTTTCCTGAATGGAGGCTAAGAAAGCATTCATTAAACCTGGGAAGTTCTGAGTCTTCCAGTTTGCATAGTGAATTGGAATTGTGGTAGCCTGAATATGAATGGAGATGTGGTAATTCAGTAACATGAAATGGGAAATACAGTTTAATTACCCCAGAGATTTTTTTGGAACATAAATTGCTTCTACTTTTGTGACAATATTGGATTATGAACCCATTCACCTTAATGTTGTGTAATGAAGCCTATAAAGCAAGTCATAAAAATGCTTTGTTTGCAATGCTGTTTTTAGAAACTCCAATCTTATGGAAAAATCTTCTCATTATTGAAAGCATTTGTAGTTCCCCCAGAATCCTAGAAATTAAAAGATTCCTGAGTGCAAGGTCCTTACTACCTAGTTAATGAATGAGGGAAGAAGTATTCCTCAAGTTACCTCAAATCTGTAGATCTGGATCGTACAGTTCTTTACTAGTACCATAAAGTATAATTTAATCTAGAAATGGCCCAAAATATACATCTGAAAATAGATATTGATTTGAAGTGACAGTCTAGGACCAATAACAATTTTAAGGAAAAACAGTTTTTATGAAATTATGTTTCTGCCATTAGAAAAAATTTCTGAAGAATAACAAGTTCACCTTAGAAAACCAAAAGGTAAATTTAAAAAAATTAATATTGAATGAAAATTAAAGGAAGAATAACAATCTTTTTTTACTTATTACATTAGCATAAAGTTTAAAAAGCAATAGCATTCATAGTTAATGAGGATAAGTCATCCTCAGACTTTGGACATTTGAGTATAAATTGCTACAAATTGGAGCAAATAATTTGGAAATGTGTATTAAAATCTAAAATATGCATTCTATTAACTAAAAATACTACTTTTGGGACTCTGCCCTGTTGTAATCAGAAACATGTATAGCTAATATAAATGTATAAAGGTGTTTATTGCAGCATTGTGTGTCACAGTGCACTACTATAAATAAATCTGCATATCTATAATTATAGTTAATAAAATATTAAACTGTTAAAAAGTATACATTAGATGTTGATGTTAATACTGGAGGGATGCCCTTGAATTAATTATAAAAAGTTGAAGGATAATACACAAAACATAGTCCCTTTTCTGTAAAACCAAATAACAACAACAAAAAAAACCCTTTAGATATGGACTTGTATATTTCCATAAGCATGGATCTTTTAATGTTGATTACTTCATGGTAGGGGCAGCACTAAGCGATGCTTTAGATCTCCATAATCTACATTAGTTCCCTCAAAAGTCACTTCATATAAACATAAAAAGAACACACACAAGAAAAGTGTGCTTGCTGTTTAGACATAGTTCTAAGGAAGTCTCCCATTTATTTCTCACTCTCTCTCAAGTCACAACACCTATACATTCCTAAATGGAAATTTGGAAGTTGCCATAGCTTCAGGAAAGTGAATAAGAAAAAAGATTACTTTCATATGAATATTTTTAACTTTTATAAATTGTCTTGTAATAATTTTGGAAGTTAAGATAAAATTCTAAAAACCGAACAGATTATGGTGAAAATGTTTAGGAATTTATACCACAGTGTGTGGTCTCTTTTTAGGAAAAAAAATTAATTTTAATTATTTTTTAAAATAGTAGAAATGTTGCTCTTTTTTCATCAATTTGTTCAGTCCATATTCCTACATACTTTTTCTAGCATTTTTCTTTGTCTGAGAACTGTATCCAAATTGTAGGCATTGTTAGCTCTGTCAAGACTCGCAATGATCAGAGTGCTTCTTCAAGTCATTCCTTAGTCACTGCGTTCTCACCCTCTCTTCAAAGTTTATTCTCTAGCACTGGTCTCGAAGTTCACACACTATATTTTTCACACTGCGACCCTGGTCACTAATATAATGACCAATAGGACCATCAGTGAGAATCAGATGAGGTGTCAGAAGTAAAAATAATGTATGAACTGGAAAGTACTATGAAAGTGAGGATTTCATTGAGAAGATTATTGAAATAGGCTAGCTACAAATTGATGGGTCTCTGAAAAGGATACTTATTAAAAAACTCCACAAATATAGTACTGGATACAGCCATAATCTCAAAAAAATAAATCTGAGGGGTCCCAAACTCAATTACACAAGGTTAAGAATATAGAGCTTAGTAAAATCTTTTTTTTTTTTTTTTTTTTTTTTTTTTTTGAGACAGAGTCTTGCTCTGTCACCAGGCTGGAGTTCTGTGGTGTGATCTTGGCTCGCTGCAACCTCCGCCTCCCGGGTTCAAGTCATTCTCCTGCCTCAGCCTCCCGAGTAGCTGGGGTTACAGGCGCCCAACACCATGCCCAGCTAATTTTTGTATTTTTAGTAGAGATGAGTTTCCCATGTTGGCCAGGATGGTCTGGGTCTCCTGAACTCGTGATCCACCTGCCTCGGCCTCCCGGAGTGCTGGGATTACAGGCGTGAGCCATCGCGCCTGGCCGGTAAATTCATTTTAATTCACTTTAAGCTTATATGGGCTATGTGTAGATTTTCTCTTGTTCCTTCATTTTGTTTTAGTTCAATTGTAATTAGACATTTGGAATACATTTCTAGTGGACTTCAAAGTCCAAAAGACTCAAAGCCAAATACTCCAGAAGTATTTATGTAAATAAGAAATAATCTAAATATATCATTAATTATATTAAAATACATAACACATATACATATGTATATATAATACAGAACATATATACATATGTGTATACACACACATATATTACACATATATATACACATAACATAGCATACATTTAGTTAGATAGTTTTTTCCAGCTCTGATGGTGACTTCCAATTTCTGAAAAATTCTCCAGTAGGGGTTGCTCAGCATAGAAAGAAGGAGATGTATGTGTGTTAAGGCCACTCAATGGGGCTGTGGTTGTTGCACTAACGTACTTGCTTATGAACCTGGGTAAGATCCTTCCTTTCTCTTTGTTTTAGTTTACTCACTCATTCTAAACTGAAAGGCAGTAAACTCTAGTATCTGTAAGATGACTTTCTTCTCTAAGATTTTAAGGTTTTATAATTTAACTATGTTACTTTCCAATTATAATTCTACTTCATGCTGAAAAGAAAATCATAATCTCGCTTTTCCATACTGGCAAGGTTAGTTCATAGAAACCATCTTAAGAAACATTGATATGATGGCACAAAATAGAGTGATTATTGATAGCACTGAACTCGTTGTATACATTAATCAAATTATTCTAATGTGTGCTAAGTTTTCATGTGCTTTTTTTTCTTTTTTCCAAACAAATACTGAAAAGTCTTGGAGAAATCACACATAAATATAATAATCATTTATGTGATTCTACCCGTCATCACCTTTCCCCTTCTATCTGAACATTAAAACCTCTCTAGGTAACAAGAGTTTTACTATAATATTCAGGAATACGATTCTTCCTGGACTAGGAGGATGCAGGGGGAAATGAGCCTCTGTTTTCAGCATCCAATCTCCGAGAAAAGGATCTCCCACCACCTGCTGCTTCCAACAAGCCCAAACTCCCGCTCCACTAGCTTTCCTGGGAACCGAGCAGAAAACTGGAAGGGAGGGGAAGAAGGTTGGTGAGAGCAAGAGGCGGGGAGTGAGGAATGGGAGGCTGGAGGAGGCGTGGCCCGGCTTTGGGCCGTCGGGATAAATACTGAGAACTGGGTGCGGGGTGTAGGGAGAGAAGTCTGGAGGAACGCTGAGCTGAGCAGCACCGAGGACAGCGCCCGGCAGCGCCCGCGCCCAGGTCTCCCTCCGCAGCACTGACTCGCGCACACGCTGAGCTTTTGCTTACCCCCTTCTCGCGCGGACACAGACACACACGCATTTCACACACCCAGACACACACCCCGCTGTACAATGGCAGAATTCCACCTGCAATCGTCCCTCATCACAGCCTCACAGTTTTTCGAGATCTGGCTTCATTTCGATGCTGACGGTGATTATCTTCTCTTTTTAACTGTTTCAAGACCCGTTTCCATGCCCCTTCCCATTCTTTGCCCTTTTCTGAGCCTCCTGATCCCATTATCCCTCCTTTCTATTCTTTACTTCTTCCCCCTTCTGCCTAATCTTATCTTCTTATCTCCCGACTGGCTGCCAAACCGTCAACCTGAAAGTTTATATTGTTTCCACCGTAATCCCCAAACCTTAAACTTTTGTCTTTCCAGGAACGGTAATGGTAGAAGGAGAGAGAGTGAGAGCAGGGATTGGGGGACACTGCTCCCCCAAAGTTTCTGTGGTTGCGCTCAGCACCCCAACCATCCTCCTTTGTCCTCCTCAGTGGATCTAAAGTTTGATACCCCAGGAGGGGAGCGCTGCCGCGTCTGTACGCTTTGCTGGTTAATCAATGTCCAGGCAAGAGAGAGCCTCTCGGGTCGCCAGAAAGATAACTGTCTTGGAAAGTGAACGGGGAAGACACTCGGAATGAGATATCTGACACCAGGGTGCCTCTTTGTCTTTGCAGGAAGTGGTTACCTGGAAGGAAAGGAGCTGCAGAACTTGATCCAGGAGCTCCAGCAGGCGCGAAAGAAGGCTGGATTGGTAGGTTCAAGTTTGCGAAAAAGAAAAAAAAGACTTCCAACCCCCAAATTAAAACATTCTTGTGTTTTCACAAAAAGTCAGCAGGATAAAGCTCTTTCTGGGTAATGTAAACGTTTATTGACTGCGAAAGGCAAGAAAGAACACTTTTCCAATTCGCATACAGAGAAAGGGGAAAGGGGAAAGAGACAGACTGAGAAAGAGAGACACAGGGGAGGGGGAGAGAGAGAGAGAGAGAGAGGAAGAGGGGGAAGGGAGGGACAGAGAAGGGAGGGAAGAAGGGAGAAGGGAAGACAGAGAGAGAGAGAGAGATTTTCTAAAGGGAAAAACCTTGCTATCTGAAATCGCAGTTTTAAATATATATATATATATATATATATATATATATATTCTATACTAGTCCTTGCTTTAATAGGTCTTAAAAGGAAACTGTGGGTGCATGAGATTCTTTAGCGGATCACCACTTCTACTACTGAGTTTGATTAGGTAATTTTTAACTTCTGTTTTATTGTGTGAGAAATTAGGGGGTGGAAATGCTTTTCTGCCCCTTGGTGGTCAAGAAACAGATCTGCAGATTATGGATCTCTTACTCTATCACCAATTATTATTGTTGTGATGTTGATGTCGTTGGGGAGATGAGAAAACATCTTGTCCTCACTAAGGGAAAGTTGCCCAACTTGCAACCTAACAATGAGCAGGAATTTAGCAAGAAAAGGTCTTCATTTCTGTTGAAAGCAAGAAACCCAAAAGGTAGAGAAGTAAAAAGTAAAACAATTTTAAGAATTTCATGTATTGTAAAAAAAGCAAAGTGATACTCTGATGGGCAGCAATTGATGGTGCTTTGAAAATGGCTATGTTTGTTATTTAAGCCATTAGTTAATTAAACAAATGACAATTCTTATTAATTATAAATGACTCCCTTTGGGCATAGATTAACCTGTTAAGAAAGTATGTTGTCAGCACAAATATAAAACATAATCAGCTTTTAAACATAGATGAGATGGTTGTCCAGAGGAAAATGGGTTAAAAATTGTACTACTCTATTGAGGTTTATGTAACACTGTCTTTCAGAAGGCCGTGTTGAATTGGAATGGGTTACACGTTAATGGTCTTTGGCCTTCTTGACTATGTTTAGAAAGAGATTTTACACTACCAATGATGTATATATTATATAGCAGATCACCACCTCTAATATTGAGTGATATATATAAAATTTAATAATAGAACTATCTTTTTGCCCTATCTAAATTGAAAATTGTGTAATATACATCTCTGTATAGCATATTCAAAAGAATCCCAGAGGGTTCTAAATGTGTTATAATGCATTATAAAACTATCAGTTACAAAAATCATTGACCAAATTGATTTTAAACCAGATTGTGCTCTAGGGATTGTTTTACCCAGATTTAACATTATATAATCTAAAAGTATAATAGAATGGAATAAAATAGCATAAAAATGTTTTATATACTCTTCACCCTCCCCAGATCTTATATATTGCCATGTAAATAAATTTATGCAATACTGTCATTATAGCTCTATGTATCTTTGGCTAATCTAATAAAAGCAATTATCTTTCTCATCTAAAAATACATATTTTAAAATCCGGTTGGAAAAGTCTTACTTTCCATAAAATTTAGAATTAAAATCTTGGAAGATGCTTCTGGCAGCTAAATAATTATATTTTAATTTGTCCAGAAGTAATTTTAATATTGAAATCTATTTTCAGTTTGGAAATTTAAATATTCACGAAATTTAAAAATGTATTTTTCTTCCTCTGATTTTAATATTTGTACCTTTTTGTAAACAATACCTTCATGTTGGAGATTTAGAATTTAATTATTTTTCTCTGTTTTCGAATAGTCAAAGCTCCAATTATTAGACTATAATGTAATGATACTAAACAAGCATAGTTATAGGATTATATCAAGTTGCTTAATACCTTGATTCTTGGCCATTTTTCTGGAATGTAAATACAATCTGGATTTTTCTGAAGTGAGTATTTTTCTTGATTTGGGTAGTTAAAATCTAAATCAAGATCTGGATTCAGAGATTCATATAATAGATACATGTTTCACTATACTACCAACTTCATTGCATTAAACTTACTTGTATATATTTCTTCTCTTTCTTTAGAACACAAAAATTGCCCTTATAAACCAAGCTTTTTGCATTTCTAGCCATAGGATAACAAATTTCATTGCATTAATGGAAACATTGTTTGGCTTTTCATGTTAATAACATGAAATTTCAAAATTTTCACTACGTGAATATAACATTAATGAAATATAACAGTGCAATATATTTTCAAAAACTATCCTTTTACACTAAACATAGTGTTTGGTCTTTGTATTTGGACTCATTTTTATACATTTTTAATTGGTGGTGATGATGAGTATATCTTTTGCACTATTTAAAAAATAGATTTTGACATACTTGTCAGAAACTTCACAAAGTAAATGTCAAGTCTGCTAGTTAAAGTAGTGGTATTACACTATTTTAAAATTTAAGGACAGATGCTTTGGTTTTTGTTTATGTTAAGGTATATGTAAAAATTAAAAAAAACTGTAGGACCTGATATTCCCACTATTGCCGTGGTTAGACACTTTCATTTTCTTACAATTGTTTCTATAACAAAATTAAATAAATACAAATTGTAATTTATCCATTGTAAGTTTTATAAAGACTAAAATATAATTATATTGCTTTGTTATTACTTATTATCTTAGTTCTACTAAAGATGTCTACACTGGTTCCAAACAGATTTTGTAAATACTAGTAAAAATGATATTTAGTCTCAATATAGCCCTTAAATTATATTAACCTATCTATCCCCAGAGAAAACTTGTGTGGTAGATAATACCACCATCTTGTTAGCTACGATGAAAACTGAGACCTTAATTTGCTTTCCCAAGGACGTAGAATAGAACATTAGTAAGGGCTGACCTATTTTAAATAGGCTTCAGCTAATGCAACAGGGCTATTTTAAATGGGCTATGTTGGAGACCCAAGGGTAAAAATTAAACCTCCTGAATACCAGTTCTATGTTCAGATCACTAGTTTATAGTTCATAGCTCTCTAATATGTTTAATTTTAAAATTTATTTAATTGATGAATGCCTCTTTTATGCTTAAAACAATCTTTGCTTACAAAGTGAGTTACTCTTTAACATTCATAATTTTTGCTTATTCAAACTGAAAACATACATTACTTTCCATAGATAAAACATTATGTTAGAATGAGAAAAATGTTGTAAGACAAGATAGTGTATCAATATAAGGTAATCTTTAGTGAAGTAAGCAATGTTTAAAGTATATTGACAGTGATGATTATGTTAAAATTCACTAAAAGTTATGAATGGAATGATTCTGACTACACTTTCAAAGGATAGCATATTCTCAAAATTAATAATAAGATAAATCATATTGAGAAATAATCAACATGATTATAACTCTTTCATATGGAACTAATAAATACTGTGTATCAGTTATGCCTTTAATTTTTATGAGAATAATTAATCATTATGCATATTTCTATATGGTTCTAATTTTGGTTTTTCTTTGCAGTAAGTTATTAACACCGTCACAAGCATAACTGGGTATTTTTTTTACAAACCTCTTACCTGCTTTTATATAATTTTAGGAGTTATCACCTGAAATGAAGACTTTTGTGGATCAGTATGGGCAAAGAGATGATGGGAAAATAGGAATTGTAGAGGTAAGGAATTTATGCATTTTTCTGATTTAATTTTAATAAATGAGTTTCAATTCTGAAATTGCATTCAAGTACGATATAGCAAGACCCATTCAGAGAGGTTTATTTTACCTAAGTAATACATTATCTTCTGTTCAGAAGTACAAAGTTAAAAAATGTTCACAAATGAAAAACATCTAAGAGTATTCCTAACCCAGGGCCCAAATTTCATATATTACAAAATTGAGACCCTGGAGAAATAAAATGGTTTGCCTCTGGTCATACAGCTGTCTGCTGGCACAGGTGCAGTTAGAGGAACAAGTCCCTGACTTCTAGATGAGAATCAATCACATTCCATTACCCAGCCTCACTTCAATGCAGTATCTAAGCACATGGTCCATCAGTATTTCTTACCACTTAACAGTGTAGACTTGACTTTTAAAATATAAAATAAAATGTTTATAGTCCCTGTGAAATATTTACAGTCCTTGTTTTTCATGGCAAAAAGCTGCATCCTGTTTGACAATTGGCCTTAGTAAAAACGGAAGAATTTAACTAGAGTGAGTGAATATTTTATGATCTGTTATAGGTACAGATTTCGTGTGAGTCTCTGAAAGTTAAAACTGTGGGTGTCAAATTTTATCCTTTCACACTGACTTTTCCTATTAAGGGCAACTTATTTTTGTCTGTGAATCAAGGAAGCAAAACCGATTATGCATCAATTCTTCTGCATTCTCAGATTTGTGAAAGAGCTGTCTACGTTTCCAGCCTGTGGTGTCTTAGCCTCTTTCTTTATCTCAGCAGCCTATTAGAGAAATTGGGTGGAAGCCTTTGTCCTGAAAAATTAATAAGGTCGTAATTTAAATTATGCCAACTCATAACATAATTATGTTATTTATATAGTGTTTCTCAGTGTATTAGATTGTGAAGTATTCTGGCTCTCAACAACATTTAGTAATAATTTACCTTTGATTCAGAGAAATAACCTGGTTTTCAAATAATTGATCTTATAGGACACTTGTGATGCCAATATGAAATACACTTATTTTTAAACAGCTGATACAAATAGAGTTAAGAGAGGACACACTATTATTATCTTTGTAATTAAAATTTTTCCCTGGAGTACATACTTTCCCCTTTACCTATGTGTAACTCATTACTATATAAATAGATAATAGTAATGGGACTTACAGATTGACATATAGGCCAACTAATCAAGATATGAAACCATCAAGGATAAGAAAATAACTTATAAATTAAACATAAATGAGATGAGGTACTCTAATTATTCAAAACTAGTTTGGAAATATGACATCAGCGAAATTACGAATTGGCTCTTTTAGAGTTTGACATACTTTATAATCCTAGTAAAGGAAAGCCTGTCACCTTACATTTAACATACTTCACCTTGAAGGACTACAATGGACTCAGCTATTTATTCAATTTCATTTCTTCAGTGATACTAGATTGTGCAGTAAAAAGCATTGGTCTGATTCACATGGATTTTACATTTTTAAAAGGATAAAATGGATGAGGATGTTTTGAATCCAGGTTTTACTTTATGTGATACAGTCTAATCATTGTGACTTATTATTTAAGCTTTATTTTGAATGAGAGGTTAGAGGCCGTTTAGCAGATGCATTGTCCTAGAGGTTTAATGAAGGAAATTTCCTCAGAAGTTTTAGATAAGAAACTGTTACAGGAAATAAAAGGCTTTCTGTGTAAGGAAAGATATAGAAGTATACATAACAGAAGAGGATGGAGAAGGCAATGAAGTCTGAAATAAAGAAGTGAGAAGCTTTTATAGCAATAAAAATAAAAGAATTCACATTTGTATAAAATAAAGTTGACAAAGTGTTTTCAAATATGTTATCTCATTTGATCCTCATAACAAGAAAATTAAGTAAATTTAAATATAAAATGAAGATCTATTTTATAGTTGTGGAATGTGAAGCTTCAATAGAATTTGCCTAAGGTCACAGAAAAAGTAAGAAATAAATGGTAGAACAGTCAGAACCCAGACATGTTCCCCCAAACTATTCTGCCTTTTTTTAAATAATAAATAATCTGTACATTTTCTGCATTAAAAGGAAAGGTTTTCAAGCTTCAGTTGGTTGATTACTTATGGCAAGTTTCTAAGTTTAGCCGGGTTGGATAGGGATGCAGAAAGTGTTCTGCAGAGAAGTTATTTGGGCAAAGCCCTCGAAACATGATTTCAGCAGAACTTTTGATCAGCTGAAGAAGAAATAATTTAAAGGGAGACAAATGAGATATATATAAACTGATTGGAAGGTTTTAGTGTTCCAGGACATGGAACTTTTTGCTAGATGGGACTCTTGGGAAGAACTACTCAACATTCCTCATTTTAAAGATGAAGAAACTGAAGCCCGAAAAGGTCGAATAATGTATCCAAGGTCCCACTTGCAGGGAGTGACAAAGCCTATATACAAACTTAGATCTCACTCTGATTTTAGAACTCTTTTCATTAACCTCAGTTATCAGCCAAGACATAGGAGTAAGGGATCTGGAAGAGGGCATTAGGTTGAGAGAAGAGAATTGGAGAATGGGAGGAAAAATAGGAGATTGCTTCAATAGTTCACATGCATGTTGGCTCACTCTGTGATGGTTAAGAGTGAAGAAAAGAGAAATTCTGAAAATATTTGGGAAATAGAAATTAAAAGTTACAGGTTACATGTAGGAAATGGGGAGAGGGAGAGTAATAAATGTCTGAACTTATATTTTGCTCTCTAGTGTAACCAGAAAGCTGTATTAAATGAAGTTCATCCTTTCTTTTTCCTATTTGACATACATCACTTGCTTAGAAATCCTATAAATAATATAGAACATAAAAATTCTAGCCAGCTATAAAGGAATGCAAAATTCTATGTTTTCTATAATTTATGATAACCTACCTACTGACATCAAGCACACATTAACTTTGGTGTTCAAAGGGAAAGGAAGATGGATTTACTTATATGTTATGCTCACTTAATAGTTACACTCACGAATTCATCAAAATCTAATCAAAGTAAACCAAATTATACTCATGCAGTGGTCTGCTTCCCTGATGGAATAGGTCAAATTGGTTTGTCCCTGAAAGATGTCATTCAAAAGATTAGAATATGTAATGGTTAACTTTCAAAGTTCTGACCTGATAAAGTTAACTGACACTTTCTAACAACACGCATTTGCTACCTAGAAACAAATATGTTTCTTTCTTAACTTTCTAATTTCTTGCCTTAAAATAGATTTAAAAATTCACACAAATACAGTTTAGAAATAAAGAGATTGTTAACACAAACTCCAGACAGGAGCATCGAAATTCTGAGATAATTTAACAAAAAATGTGACGGTCAAAAAAATGTTCCAAATTTATTCAGACTAATAACTCTACTGCAAAGAAAGCTGATTAAAATAATTTTAAAAAAAAGGAAGACTGAATGATTTAGCAGATAATAGAGCTTTCTTCTCTGGTGTTCACATGAAATATAGGTATTTCTCTTAAGTGGATGTCAAATCTACAAGTTTTTCACCTCATCCTTTTGGCAATGTGTGAGAACCCACCATCCTCTCCATTCTTACTGTTTCTATCCGTCCAGGTCAGTGCATGCACTGAAAAATGCACCTAAAAGCTATTTTAATCCTAAAACTATAACAACCCTCCCAGGGAAGCAAGGTGTTCTCCAGCCTTTCCCTCTTTTCATCTGCAGTGGGATTTGAGCCTGTGAGTTTAGCCATAGTGAATATACTTTTTCATGGAAGACTACTTTTCCACCACAGAATTTTGGGAAATGACTGACAATGAAATCTGATTTTAAAATTCCCTCTGCATATATTTTTCTAAATGATTTATTAGGAATACTTTTTTGATTGAGGATTTTAATGGAGGGTGATGAAGGTAAGGGACAGAGTCTCAAAGCCAAGAAAGTCAGACTCTGCCTTCAAATCTGGCTCCAACTACAATCTATGTGAGAGCAGGCCATTTACCCTCTTTGAGCCTCTGTTTCCTTGGCAGTGAACAGGAATGACAATGTATTAACTTCATAAGGTTGTTATGATCATCAGTATCAAATAATACATGTTGAACAAATAGATCGACCCTGGCACACTATAAAAACTCAACAAATGTATTTGCAGTTATTGTTACATATAAAAATAACTTACTACAAAATCGACCCCATCTTCTGAATGCCAAGCCTTTCCCCCCACTTATTATATCATTTGTCAAATTCAAATTATTAAACTGAAAGAGCTTTACATTTTTGATAAAGTTATTTACCTTTCAAATTTCCTCGACTCACTTCTCACTGGCTAGGGAAAACATTTTTCTAGTTCTCAAGTGAAAAAAGAATTGAATGCTTGTCTAATACATGTTCAAGAATGTTAACATACCATGATTGTCTTTAAAAGTTAGGAATTCTGCCTCATATGCACTGTGATAATTTATATCACTAATGAAGTTGCCTTTCATGTACACTCTCCTCACAACTGGTACTTAGCTTTATTGTTGTTTTTATCTCCCGCTTTGAAATTGTCAGGGGAAAGTTCTTTGAAAGTATCTGCCTCCCTATACGGTTCTCACTAGTGGTGACTGTGGTCACCAGCACAGTGCCTAGTATTTAGTAGCCAAATGAACCACAGCAAGAGATTTCAACTTACTCCAAAACATCAGGCAAAGGCTCTGTATTATGCTAGAAATAAAAGAGAGAGATAAAGACCCCTGTTATGGGTAGAGTTACCTGGGAAGCAGATCTGAGTGGAAGAGTAGCAATGAGCAAGTTTATTAGGAAGTGCTCTTGGGATCAATATCCCTGGGATGGAAGTGAAGAGAATAGATCTGGGCAGAGGGAGAAGCTGGGCTGTGTCACAGTCTCAACGGGGACATCAGCTGACCCTACAGTGAGTTCTGAAGCTGGGATGTCTCTAGTTTTGAGTGAGACGGTTGGGCCTTTATATCCCCATGTTAATCAGTCACAGGATGCCACCTCCTTGGGGACACAGCTCTCTTCAGCCCAGGTATTCTTTCAATGGGGCCTCACAGGTGAGGCTGCAGCAACACGCCCAGCACTTGAAGGGAGTTCTGGGTAGCATATCACAATGTCCACCCCAACCCCTATTCACAGCTCAGTAATAAATTATTGCAATTATCTCCAAAGGAACTTTACCTACATTTATTTACAGCCTATCCTGATGCTAGACAAATAGTTAATTGCCTTTCTGTATTGCTTCAATAAAATATTTACTACAATTTGTGCAGTTGCTGGCCAAAGAAACAGTAAATAAGACACAGACCCCATCATCAAGGAGCATGTAGACTAGTAGGGGAGACAAGCAAGTAGAAAGTTGTTGGGTTTTTTTTTCCTACTCTTGATGACAGGCAACCAGTTCTCAGAAATGAAGCTCTGAGGGATTCTACTTATTTCCATAGCTACCTGCCTTCCACTCAACCCCTTGATATTCTTCACTCTCTTCTCCAACTCATAAAAAAAGTTTTGGGAGTTCATAAAAGAGCAGGCAGGCAGCCCAAAGATTACGGAATCACCAATACTACTGGAATAAGTAGTATTGGGTACTTCTATAAACAACAGTGACTTAGCATATCTGAGAATAAAGCAACTCTGCTTAACACCTCCGATATGAAAGACCTTTGGCACCTTGTAGACATGGTCATAAAGGCTACAACTGGAGAATTACTGTGCCCAGCTCTGAAACTTGAATATTGATTCATACACATTGATAGAAAAACTGAGAGGCAACACAGGACCACCACATTGTGAAACGTGTCTTAAGAAAGATTTCTTTACACTCACTATAGCCACATCCTATATATACATAATAATCTTTTATATGCTTAAGACTCCTTTCTAACATCTATAAAATAGGATGGTATCATGTTGAGTGTAACAACAGTTCAGTGAAATTAAAACAGATTGAATATGTTGCACATAGACATAATCTGCATTTTTTAATAATTTAAGAATAAGACCAAAGCAGTATGGGCAAGAAATACACATTTATAGTAGACATGAAGACCATTTTTACTATCTCTGTATCTGACATTTAGGAGACCTCTGAACTTTATGTGAGTTACATGAACTTTTATGTTGAAACAAAGATGGCAATTTCCCTAATTTTACATTTAGTGATTGCTTACTAGCTCATTCGTTTGTTTTTTTTGTTTTTATGTATTCAGTGGATTTGGAGATGTAAAATATTTAAAGAAAAGTTATTCATTTTTGTTCAAAGCAACACACATTAATCATACAAATCCAAATAAAATAGAGAATTATGATGAAAATAAGCAAAAAAAATTCTAAATCCTTTTAAGTAGGTGTTTTTAATAAAGTAAAATTACCAACCAATCCACAAGCATTTATTTCAGGCATATAACACACTAGATACCATGCTGGACATTCAGGGGATGCAGAAAAGTATTATTCCCTGCCCTCTTGAAATTAATGGTCCAGAGGAAGGTCACGCAAAAACTGTAAGAAGTATGTAACAAGTTGCATACCAATAAATTAAGGATGAGTTGGTGTTAGCTATCTCCTTTTTCCTAAATGAACACTTATATTCATGAAAAACCATAATAAAATGTGGCTAGACCTTCTATATCATGCAGAACCCTCCAAAATGTATACATAACATCCATTTCCATTGTTCAATCTTCCCTTTAAATGTCTGCCTCTGACATATTTTCTTCCTCTTTGATGTGTTTTATTGTCTTCCGTCTTTGTTCCCTCTTCTTTCTTGGGTTACTTTATCTTCTCTTCCTATCTTCTTTAAAATCCTCAAGAAGACATTCTTCAGAATCCCTCCAGCGAAGTATTATTATAGAAGAGGCCAGGCTCAACAAAAGACTGGAGGGGCGTGGGTGCTTTTCCCTCCTCCAGAGTCCCTCTACATCCCGAGCCCACCCACTGCCATTCTCCCTCCCTTCTCTTCCCCATTAGCTCTGGGGGGAGACCTACATTCTAGGTCTAACTTACCAGATATCTGGATACTTTAATAATGAAAATCATTTATATCTACTTTCCACTAGAAGCCCACTTACAGATGAGGAAAAAAAGGGATTTTTATAAGGAAAATGGCGTCCTAGATTTCAATTAGTAGAAACAGCCTATCATATTCAAACTGTCTTATTGTCACGTGTAAAAATCACCAACAAATTCATTATTTGCAGTCCAAGAGCAAAGAAGTAACCAAACCATTCTATTACTGTCTTCAATAAGCATGTTGTTGACTTAATCTATTAATAATCACCAAATTAAAGTGATTTTCAGTCTGCCAATCATCAAGTCAAGTCATTCAACTTCTTTGGGCCTTAGCGTCCTCAATTGAAAAGTTTGGTCTTTGAATAGAATTAAATTACATTATTTCTGAGATATAGAATTTTCTGATTCAAGTATTCAAAGGAATTGAAAGAACGCAAAGGTCACAGAAGTATGTCCTGCACTTAATGAGGGACCTGGATCACACACACACACACACACACACACACACACTGCAATGATGCAAATGTGTTTGTGTACCAAAAGCTAATTACATTTTTTTAAAAGTACTGGCAGATTATAAACCCCGATTTTTACTTTTTAGATATATTATCATCTACCCACACTAGTGACCTTCCTTTAAAAATAAATAAGAAGGCTGAGCGTGGTGGGTCACGCCTGTAATCCCAGCACTTTGGGAGGCCGAGGCAGGTGGATCACGAGGTCAGGAGTTCGAGACCATCCTGTGAATGGTGAAACCCCGTCTCTACTAAAAATACAAAAAATTAGCCAGGTGTGGTGGCGGGCGCCTGTAGTCCCAACTACTCAGGAGGCTGAGGTGGGAGAATGGTGTGAACTCAGGAGGCAGAACTTGCAGTGAGCCGAGATCACACCCCTGCACTCCAGCCTGGGCAACAGAGTGAGACTCTGTCTCAAAATAGATAAATAAATAAATAAATAAGAAAATGTTTTATGACTAGGTCATATTAAACATGTTGATACGAGATCTGACCCTTTCCCTTAGTCTCACCCACACGTGTTGTGCCTATAAACCAAGTGGTTTTAATTTGAAATATTATTTCAAAAATCTAAAAATAAGATAAGCTAAAGGGCATACACAGCCACAAGAAAAATGAGATTCCTTGCATATAAAGTAGAATAGTGCATTTTATATTAAATTTTTAATTTTTAAATGAACCTAAAAGGATGAATTTTTTTAAAAAGTTATTACAGTCTTTTCTATAATTTGGTAGACTTTGACTTTAAGGCTAATCTAGACTACAGACTCTTGGCCTAAAATCCATGGATGAGGGTCCAGGCCTGTGATCTAGGGAATTCATCAAATCTTGGAAATCAGGTGAAATATAGTGTGTGTAGATTCTTTCTTTAATGGTGAAAATGCAGTGCTTCCAACAGAAGGCGTTTTGAACCCAATATATTCAAGAAACACTGGCTTCTATTTCAAGTCCTTGTTTTAGTGATGAGGGTACTGAAGTTCAGAAATGGCTCGGGGTTGCTGGGGACCACAGCTAATTAGCTACTGTGCCAGAAATAGATCTCACATCTGCAGTGGTGCCATCAATCCAGCTCTTCCTTCTCCGCACGCAATAGATTAGTCATAAAATGGGATATGGAATCCTTTTTTCTTCCAAAAAAAAAAAAGAGAGGAGGATTGAAGTTATGAAATGAGATCTAAGGGAAAATGTCATAGAGGCATGCCGTGGAGATCAGAAAATAAACCCCAGCCCTGGATTCAAGCAATGGATGTCCTTTCAGTAGAAAGCAACAATTTTAGAACTGGCTTTTCCTATTCCTGTTTAATGCCCCCACCATTCCTGGTGAATTTCTTTTCCATTGCCTTAAAATTGTCTTTGGTTTATCTTCTCTTGTATCTCACAGTAGGCTTTCTCCTCGGGCTTGGGAATGCATTTTACCCCTTCACTCCCCTCCCCAACATTTATGTTTCTCATGGTTTCTTTCACTTCACATGAAATTTATGGCCCCCACATGTGCCTTTCTGTGTACCCTGAGAGGAGAGAGCCCTAATCTGTGGCATAGAACACATGAAGGGTTCAAGCCAATAGGATGAATCTGCCTGAATGTCCAGCAGACAAGAAGTGGCCGCGCTAGTTCTACCTGAGCACAGGTTTGCTGCAGCCACCTCACTGGCCCAAGAACCAAGCACACAAGGGCACAGGAGCATTGGAGAATCGATGGCACTCCATAGGAAAGTACCAGAAAGGGAAAGCCGACTCTAATGTTTTCCTCTCCTACTTTTCTAGCCTGTGAGGGAACAGGTTGAAGAGAAACTAAGCAGCAGGTAATGGCAGAGACTTGTTTTTGAGCAACTTACAACACGTTTCTCTCTTTTTACATCTTTTCCAGTTGGCTCACATATTACCCACAGAAGAGAATTTCCTGCTGCTCTTCCGATGCCAGCAGCTGAAGTCCTGTGAAGAATTCATGAAGGTATAAGAAAGTCGCCCCTTTAAGAAAGCTGCTTAAAGTAGGAAATTGTTCCTTTTATTAACAATGTGTTTGTTTTCCTTACCCAAAATTACTTGCAGACATGGAGAAAATATGATACTGACCACAGTGGCTTCATAGAAACTGAGGAGCTTAAGGTAAGCAAATAAAAATTTGTGCTAAGGTTTTCCTTTCAAATGCAATTAGGAACTAAGAGTTTCCTAGCTTTTTAAAAAACCTCCCACAAAAGAAACTAATGTTGAACAGTGTCACATTTTCACCTACTCTTCGACATTGTTAATGAAGTACCAGATCAAAAAAGCAACTTCAATTGCTTCTTGAAATTCTGTAAAGTAATGCAAGAAATTAACATTTTCTATGGCATACACAAATATAAGACAGACAGACAGATAGAATTATAGATAAGCCGAAAAATCCATTCATTGTATTGAAATTTGTAGTTTTAGTTCTCAAAATAAACACAAATAAATAAATTTCCTTAAAAAAGAAAGAAGAAAAAGTTACTGAATAGCTACTGTATGCTAACTACTTACACATAATGTCTTATTTAATCATAATGCATAAGTTGTATGAGATTGTATTACCCCAGTGAGGAAGAGTTGAGAGAAGTTAAGTGATATACTGAAGGCCACACAGAAATCAGACAGAGCCTTGATGTGCAAATCCAGGCTTGTCTGCCTCCAAGGCCTGTAAACATTCTATACAACCTACTGTCTCTCAACAATGATAAAAAATAAAAATTCTTCTATAATTAAACTTTTGAAAAACTGCAACTTAGAAAATGAATTTATCACTTCAGATATCACAGAGGAGGATATAAAGGAAAAGACAGAGATCTGAAATCAAGTCTTACCTCATTAATTACTACATCTTTCCAATTTTCTTTAATCTTTAAAATGAGGGTAATAAATCCTTCCTCTCATGCTTATTGTGAAGCTCCAGTAAGATTCTGCACATGAAAGCTTTTGTGACATGCAACGTATAATAAATTGTATTATTCATGAACTCAATTTACTAGCCTTTCAGGAATATGGAAGTATTCTTCTCATTTCCTCAAACCGACTCCAAAACATCTCCATCTTAAAGACCCTACTTTTTCTATTTTTAGAACACAGAGTGACTAAAATATAAGTGAGTTAATATTTGCTATGTGCCAGGCAGAGTACAAGGTGCTTGGAATGTATTTTAAAATTTAATCCTCACAGAAAAATATGCAAGGCAGGTATTATCACTCCTAATATAAAAACAGTGAGATTGGAATGCAGAGAGATTTGATGATTTTTTAAGATTACACAGCTGCCTAGGAACAGAACCTAGATTTGGACCTAGAATATCTGGTAATGTTAAGAATGATTCCCTCCCACCCCCCACAGCACTACATGCTTTCAGACTTCATTTATTAAGAGCTGCTTTTTCGCTATGTGGGGAAATATGAATATCAAACAGTTCTAGTCATAGTTCAACATGGTTTGAGTAGCATACAATTTTAAAGATGAAACTGGGACATTTGGGCCATGGCAAAATGGCTAAACCATATTCAGTTGTATCCTCTTGAAAATGTAAACGTTTTTAACGTGAAGTCACTAAAAACAATGTATTTTACAAACTTGCAGCTCAACAACCCACAAGGTGACAGTTAAACTACTGTGTTTTTATTTTATTAGACCAAAAATATTCTTTTAAAGATCCTTTTTAGTTCATAATGAAAACCTTAGCTCATTTCCAATACTGACCTCTAAATATTCTAAAAGTCTCCTTCTTTGTTCTAAATTTTATTCTCTGAAAGAGATTCTAAATAGAAGTCCTCTTCCCTGGGGAATTTTGAAGATAAGTTGGCATTCTTTTTTAATGGATCTTTCAAGAAAGCTAATTTTAAGATCCGTAATGGAGTAAAACATCACTTGCTCTCAGACACGACTTTGAATCTCTGCATCCCAAGGTTTCTCCCAGGCTATTTTTGTGACCACCATTTTAGTCTCTGATGAGGCTTTTTAACCCAATTAATCTCTGACAAAAGCCCCATAAGGCTCAAAAATAAATTCAACCCCAACAGATAACTTTGAATTTTCCATGCTTCACTTTGGATTTGAAGTGGAATATTTGATGTAAAAAAATTTGTCAAACTAAGAAAAGAGTCTCTTTCCTTTAAAAAGGTGACATCAAATCAGCCCAGAACTGGAACATTTAGGAGGGAGATAAGTCATTGCTGAATCGAAGAAATCTAATCCTTCAATAATATCTGGGCACAGTATCTGCCTAGTTTTACCTAATTGTGTTAATTCATTTTCTGAGAAAATAAAGGAGTTACGAATGAATAGCACTAAACAAAATGAATGACTATTATATGCTTAAGTGCTTACACTGTCACTTATATTTCAAATCTTTGTAAAGCTTTTATTTGATTTACGTTTCTGTTAAAAAAAATAAATTCACTCCTAAGCTCCAGCTGTCAAGATAATAATCGTCTTTTTTTCATCTTCCCACATTAATCTCTATTTTAATATGATTCATATATCTTTCAAAGATTCAATGACATCATCTGTGGCCAATTTTGTTAATTTAAATAGTCAGTGGAAGCATTTTAACTAAAGCGCTTTGGACTGCATCAAGCCAAAAACTATCCAACTGGCCCTCTGGAGAAACAAGCATCATGCTGGCTATAAACTGATGTGTAAATACAGCCTGGGGGGCAGAAAATGGATTTGAAATTAGAAATAGATCTCTATCAAGTTTACTGATATTTTTTCACACATATTCCAAAGGTATAAAGGCCCTTGTGTTTCTTGCAGAACAATCCCATGAGTACTTGTGAAGATATCAGCAAGAAGAAATACATCCATTGGGCTGGCTGGTTTTAAAAGGGTTTATTCAGATAAACTGAAATCATAAAATCATGGTAATGCACAGACAATGACCAATCAAGTCTCAGTAAAAAGCAGGTATTTTCCTGTCAAAGGTAGATTCGTTGCTGGAATGCCAGGAGGACCACCTGGTTTAGTCTTTCTTCTATTATAAGTCCCTCTACTCACCTGCTTCTACCCTCAAAAAGAAACTTTCTTGGCATTCCTGGTATGTCCTGTTCCAAGGCATTCTGAAATGAAAGTAGATGATATGTTATTAATGAAATTAATCTGAGTGTTCTTTGTTTTAACAGAACTTTCTAAAGGACCTACTAGAAAAAGCAAACAAGACTGTTGATGACACAAAATTAGCCGAGTATACAGACCTAATGGTAAGACTGATCTTGAAAAGATTGTACCCAAGAGCTCATGAAGTAGTATGATGTTCTTGCTAACTCCCAAGGCTACACAGGATGAAATAAATAAACGGTGGTGTGGGCATCATATGCATATAGGTGTCATTTCATTTGAAAAGTGAAATACTTAGGGATGCTTACATCTTGTCATTTTGAGTTCTGCAGGCATTGGCTTTAAGACTCAACATATGAGCATTTTCTTCATTGTAGAGCTATGTAATTTTTATCTATCAAAAGATGACTTGTTTTTCTTCCAAAGCCAGTGTAATTATATCACTAAATTATATAACTTACACATATATAAGGTACACTATATTTATAAATTATATCACCAAAAACTCACTTATTATAGAGGTCCTGAATCCATTTTTATCATACTTTGGGAAATCACACTTTGTTAGGAGTTTAAAGGACTGTCTAGCTACTTTATTAATTAAGCAACTTAAAATGGGTCTCCTTCTTTCTTTTGATTTTTGTTGTTTTGGGGTTTTTGTATTGGTGCTTTGAATAAGGAAATCTAAATATGCCCTGAGGCTAATGCTATGCTAAACAGTGATAACTAAGATCAATTATAGAATGTTGATAATAGAGCCAAGAAAACTGCTTTACACAAAGGCACCTACTGTTTGAGAGAGAGAGAGAAAAAAAAGCAAATAAATAAGGTTCCAGATAAAATAAACCAAAGTCTATGAAGTTAGTTTGTTTCTATTGGACGAAGTTTGCTCATTTTGACTCATCACAGAATTTGGATTACCAGGAGATACATATATTTATACATGCTTTCAGTACTGTGAATTCTTACTCCATGGGTTTAAATCAATAAACCATAAACATAGCTCTATACTATAAAAGCTACTGTTATATTAGATGGAAGAAGGAGTTAGACTTTTTAATTACTCTGAGAAACAATCTAATAAAGGGTTTGATTATACTTGATGTAACTGAGGTTTGCTTTCAGCATCTCAGCTTACTTTTATCTGAGTTGGAGTGGGGAACTACTAGAACTTTACTATTGCCTTATTCACCAACTAGTGTTATTTATTATAAAGTGGAGCTAAGCATTAGTTTCAAAACAACCTAATGGTCATCTTTAATTCCTCATTACATCTCCACTTACAATAGCATTAGCAAACAAATGGAGGAGAGTATCTTGCTATGTGTCACAATCAGCAGGTCTAAGCTCTGAATAACTTTTGGGTAATGGACAATAACCTACATTTATCAATTTTCTATTTTGTTCCAATCTTAAGGGATACCTATTTAAAGAAAGACTCCTTTCCAGGTACAATATTGAAGCAGCCTTTCAAAATCCACTCAGATGGGAGTTTTCCTCTGTTGGATTGGCCTGACATATCTGATTAAATGTCATAAACCAGTTCAAATCCAGGAAGCAAATTAATCAAGAGCTAATTAAAATTTAAATATATATGTTGGGAAATATTTCCCCATGGGCACAAAACTAAGTGATTGAGCTGTCCAGCATCTTGATAGTGTGACAATATCAGAATTTATGGTCAATGGATTATAAAATGTTTTGTCAGCATGGGACCCTGAAAAAATCTGCCTCCTACAAAAGATTCTTAGAACATCTCAAACCATAGAATGCCCTTCCTTTCCTCCTTAAAAAGATGTCACTAAATCTGTATTCATTATAGCACTGGACACATTCTGTTCTTTTAAAACAAAAATAATGCTAATTTTTCACATATTTAATGTTCATTTAGTATACACATTTTATATATTTAATGTAATTCATATATACTACTTTGGTATAACATATTATAGCAATAGTTGGTACTGTCTAAAAAGATGAAAGCTTCCCAAATACAGGTATGAGTGTTTACATCTGGATGTGTCTTTGTGAATGATGTATACATAAGTGCAATGGAGAGTTGGAGAGCTTTATGGAGTTTCTAATGCCCAATAGAAAATAAAACAATTCAAAATTATTCAAAAATTATATTGTCTAAGGATTTATTTGTTATCTGTTTTCTGCTTCTGTTTGTGCTATTCTATGCTCTAAAAGGGTGAAATAAATATTTATTTTCTTATTGGAGACACTCCAGAAGTGCAAAAACTGTCAGACACCATCCCTCCCACATCTTGATACACATATAAACGTATTTGCAATAAAAAAGTGACAGTATTCTAGAAACATAGCTAAAACCACTATTTCTCTTTTTGACTATATTATTCTGATAAACTCCAGCAATTGACACATTACAGAATTGGAAATTTGCATTGAAAGTTTTAAAAACGTTAGTTTTTAAAATTTTACTATATATATACAAGTAGTTGATAACTCAAACAGCTTTATTTTGAAGTTCATCTCCTTCATGCTATAAATTATTCCTCAAATAGCTAGAATAATGGCATTCTGTCTTTCAGCTGAAACTATTTGATTCAAATAATGATGGGAAGCTGGAATTAACTGAGATGGCCAGGTGAGTTTAGGAACCATGAAAAATGTTATAAGTGGATCCTTTTCAAAAAATGTAATATATTAATATAATGTTTTTCTCTCAAAAGGTTACTACCAGTGCAGGAGAATTTTCTTCTTAAATTCCAGGTACTTAACTTTTTACTACCTTAAATAATTTTTCCTTGAAAAGTTAGACTGTGGGAGACTTGTCAAGGGAAACATACGGAAACATAGTAATAACATTTTAACATTTACTCTCTTCTCTGTCTTTAGGGAATCAAAATGTGTGGGAAAGAGTTCAATAAGGCTTTTGAGCTGTATGATCAGGTAAAAGTTTGTTACTTTTTTCCTTTCTTTTTTATTGCAGTAAGACCTCTTAATATATAAGATCTATCCTCTTAACAAATTTTTAAGTATAAAATACAGTACTGTAAACTATAGAGACAATTTTGACAGCAGATCTTTAGAATTTATTAATCTTAAGACTTTATGCCCATTGATTAGTAACTCCTTATTTCTCCTCCCCCCAGCCCTGGCAATAACATTCTATTTTATGAGTGTGAATATTTTAGATACCTCATACAAGTGGCATCATGCAGTATTTGTCTTGGGCTGAGATTGATCATATGCAGTTCTATTTTTAATTTTTTGAGGACTCTCCACACTGTTTTTCATAGTGGATGCACCATTTTTGCATTCCCACCAATGTACACAAGAGTTCCAATTTTTCTTCATTCTCACTAACACTTGTCTTTTATATTTTTGATAATGGCCATTCTAACAGGTGTGAGGAGATATCTTATTGTTAGTTTAATTTTTATTTCTCTTGATTAGTGATGTTAAGCATTTTTTCATTTACCTGTTGGCCATTTATATATCTTCTTTGGGTAAGTGTCTACTCAAGTCATTAACCCATTTTTTAAATTGGATTATTCATTTTTTGCTATTGAGTTATAGGCGTTCTTTATAAATTTTGGAAATTAACCCTTTTTGGGATGTGGTTTACAAATATTTCTGTATTCTGTAGGCTGCTTTTGCACTCTGTTGATTGTTTCCTTTGCTGTGCAGCTTTTTAGTTTGATGTAGTCTCGCTTGTCTATTTTTGCTTGTGTTGTCTTTGCTTATGGTTTCATATCCACGATATCATTGCTAAGAACAATGTCATAAAGGTTTTATACCTTATGTTTGTTTGCTTCTAGGAGTTTTACAGTTTTAGATCTTATATTTTTTAATCTATCTCAAATTTATTTTTTTATATAGTGTAAGCTAAGGGTCCAATTTCATTCTTACACATGGGGCTGTATAGTTTACCTAACACCATTTGTTGAAAAAAGCTATCCTTGTCCCATTTTGTGTTTTTGGCACCCTTATCAAAGATCAGTTGACCATAACATGTGAAACTGAGAGCTCATTAGTCTATGTTTCTATTTTTGTTTCAGTGCTATACTGTTTTAATCACTGTAGCTTTGAAACATATTTTGAAATCAAGAAGTGTGATGTCTCCAGGTTGGTTCTTATTTCTCAAGATGGTTTTTGGCTATTTGGGATCTTTTCTGGTTTCACATGAATTTTAGGGTTTTTTATTTCTTTTTTTTATTTATTTCTTTTTTTGAGATGGAGTCTTGCTCTCACCCAGGCTGGAGTGCAGTGGTGCAATCTTGGCTCACTGCAAGCTCCACCTCCTGGGTTCACGCCATTCTCCTGCCTCAGCCTCCCGAGTAGCTGGGACCACAGGCACCCGCCACCACGCCGAGCTAATTTTTGTATTTTTAGTAGAGACGGGGTTTCACCGTGTGGGCCAGGATGGTCTCGATCTCCTGACCTCGTGATCCACCCGCCTCGGCCTCCCAAAGTGCTGGGATTACACGTGTGAGCCACCGCGCCCGGCCAGGGTTTTTTATTTCTGTAAAAATTGCCATTGGGATTTTGGAAGTGATTGCACTGAATCTGTAGATGTGTTTGAGTAGCATAGACATTTTAACAATATTAAGCCTTCCAATCCATAAACACAGGATGTCCTTCCATTTGTTTGTCTCTGTTAACTTCTTTCATCAGTGTTTTGTGATTTTTAGTGTATGTTTTTCATCTCAGTTAACTTTATTCCTAAGTATTTTATTTTTTTGGTGCTATCGTAAATGGGGTTTTCTAATTTTCATTTCAGATGGTTTATCATCATAACTAATTTTTCATTGTTAATTTTGCATCCTACAACTTTATGGAATTTGTTTATTAATTCCAACAGTTTTTGTGAGGTCTTTAGGGTTTTCTCTCTATAAAAATAATATCTGCAAACAGGGGTGATTTAACTTATTTCTTTCCGATTTGGATGCCTTAAAATTGTCTTCTTATCTATAATTTGATTCTTGAGAAGAATTTGAAAAAATGATTATGAAAACTACACAACCAACTCATTCTTTTCATAGGAAAGGTATTATGGTATGCTCAAACTACACAAACCCCTGATTCGAATCCCACACTATGATTTACCTGCTTTGAGACTTTGAACAAGATACCAAACTCATGTGAGCCTCAATTTTTTCATTTGTAAACAAGAGATAATAATAACACCACTTTGCAGGATTGAATGAGGATTAAGCTAGGTGAAAATATCCAGCAAGATAAAGGTTATTTGTAATGTCACTAGGTCACATCCTTTGCTTCTAATTTGTTTACTCCTGGACTGTGGGCTCTAATAGAACTCTGCCACCACCTGGTGTGACATGGAGCCACATACCTTCCCCAGCCCTCAGTTTCCTCACTTGTCCTAGAAGATATGATATTGTTAACATTAAGTGAATTACATGTGAAAGTACTTTGAAAAGTTCAAGATCTTTTACAAATGTAAGGTGTTGAATGAGAGGTAACTAATACCTTGCATATTTTACAACTTTGGAGCAGCTAAACACTTGGGTGGTCTGACCTAACAGATTATCTGCCAAATATGCAGTTGGGAGACTTTCTAAGGATTCCTATTATTTCCATTTTACTTCATTTCCCACTACTGTCGATGGAGTTGGTTGTATAATATTTTATTTCTCCTCCCCCAGGACGGCAATGGATACATAGATGAAAATGAACTGGATGCTTTACTGAAGGATCTGTGCGAGAAGAATAAACAGGTAACTTACTTACCATGGCACTTACTCCTTTAAGCAGACTCTATGGATCCATCCAAAACCAACCGCACATAATCTACTTTAAAAATTTATAGAGGAGCAGAAATAGAATTCAATTCTTAACTCAATTTGGTTCTGGCCTAAATCAGGGTAACTGTAATAAATAGATTTTTAAAACAACCTTGTGATTATTCACATTTGTATAAGAATTTAATCCAGCTCTTTTGTTAATGGATTGATGTAACAAGTAGTTTCATCTCGAATTTTATCATTTGACAGTGGTTAATTAACTTCCATATTTAACTGGATTACAACGCCATTTATGTTTATCCAGGAGCTGGATATTAATAATATTACAACATACAAGAAGAACATAATGGCTTTGTCGGATGGAGGGAAGCTGTACCGAACGGATCTTGCTCTTATTCTCTGTGCTGGGGATAACTAGAGTTGGTGGTCGCAACCACTTGCTAGTGATACACTGTATCTAAAAAATAACTGTGCACTATAAGGGAGTAGGCTGTATTTTCTTTTATATCTGTAAATTTAACTGCATATAGATAATTATCCAGGATGTGTGGCTCATTCTTTTCAGCTTGTTTCTATACTGTTTGTAATATACAGTTTTTGTAACCATATGATTGAAAAGAAGAAAGTCTATGCTTAGGCCCGTCAGTACACCCAATTTTAAAAAATAACATATTCTTGCTTTCATAAATATATTTGAACAAGATTTCCCTAAAAATTCCACCAGGATTAATTTCTAAAATTCTAGTCTCTGATGTGCAAATGCACATTTGTCACTGAATAATGGAATTATGTATGACAAGCCAAACATTCTTATTTTAGACAATCATAGAACTGTCCCACAAAATATTTCTAAGCTTATTTCCAACTATTAGGAAGAATGTGCTTTTGCATCTAAAATACTCACCAAAATATAAATAAATAGTTAATTGTGGCTTTATGACGTTAACAGTCTCATTACAGATTTAGTTTACCAATCAACAGCATGTCTACTGCTTGGATCCATACAAAACTATCAGTTCAAGTTGATACAGTGACAAGGGAAGGGAGCACCAGATGACACATAAATCTGTCTGATTCTATGCCTGTATTTCCAACAAGCCTACTGTCAGAGAATATGACCTAAATCCATTTTCTAAACTGTTTTCACGTGTTGCAGATAATAATTATTCTAGTCAACTGCTGTTTCATGTCATATTCTGTGTAATCTCTGATTAAATCTAATATACTGCGTATCCTGGTGTCTAGTTTGCATACTTCCTGGATTTTCTTTCTATGTAGAACTGTTCATTTCCACCAAGGGTATCTGCTGCCTCTGAAAATATTTTTTTCTAGCTATAACAACTCTATTTTTTACTACATAATTAAATTTTAATGTAAAATTCATAGCATCTTGATTATTGAATGTCATATCATCAATACTTTTGTGTATTCTGTGGATTCTATATTTCATATTGAGATCAGCATTCAAAATAGTTCTATTTCTATCTGCAAATAGTTTCAAATGAGTTTAAAAAATAACATCTGAAAAGAAATGCTAACGTAATCATTTATCTTATCTAGCAAGAAGATTCTAAAACATTCTTTAACACACATCTAAGTCACAGTTTCACATATTTGTAGCTAGAATATCCTATACTGGTTATAGTTGACATGTAACAGTTGGTGATTTTAGATTTCTTTGATTGTGAAACAGGGAGCTATGAAAGATGTGTCCATGTGAAATTTAGTTACTGCCTAGGAGTTAATGATCGTTCTGGGTCAGCTTGAATGTCCCTGTTCTATAAATACAACACTTATTTTCTGAATTCATAAAAATAACAAAAAAAAATGTGAACTATAATGTTTCCCTCAAGAACAAACAGAAACGAGATCTGCCAAAAACTAAAATTCAACAAATGATGTTGAGTAGGAGATTGGCTTTGCCTTTAGCGTGTAATTGGAAGCACTGCCATTAGACTGAGTTTAACTACTAAGAATAAAGAAAGAAGAAAATAACTTTAATATCTTGTATTTGTTTTTTTCTTCAAAATGTCAGCTGACATGCAATCCATGATGGATCCAGGTGGAAATGTAGGATGAAATTATTATGGTCTAAGGAATCTAAACATAAATGTGACTCAGTGAACTACTGGATACTTCGTTGAATTGAGGGGTGTCTCTAACATTAAAATTTACAAAGAAATCTCAAAATTTCCAAATATTTGAAGTTTTCTGCCCAACTGACATAGTCAAATCTTTAAATTTTTTTTTTTTTTTTTAGTTTTCACTCTGTCGCCCAGCCTGGAGTGGCAATGGCATGATCTCGTCCACTGCAACCTCTGCTCCTGGGTTCAAGTGATTCTTCCTCAGCCTTCTGAGTAGCTGGGACTACAGGTGCCCGCCACGACGCCCGGCTAATTTTTGTATTTTTAGTAGAGATGGGGTTTAACCATCTTGGCCAGGCTGATCTCGAACTCCTGACCTCATGATCTACCCGCCATCACCTCCCAAAGAGCTGGGATTATAGGCATAAGTCACTGTGCCCAGCCCATAGTCAAATATTTCTTCTTGAAATATCTCCAAAGCAATAACAGGAACATACAGAATTTTCCTATATTTCATTCATAGAAAAATAACTATTCACTACCAAGTGTGCACCAAAACTCTACCAGATTTGGCATTCTTACAGTAACAGCATGAGCAAAGAAAGAAAAACAACAACAAATTATGATAGGGAAATTTCTGAAGAGACTTCCTAGAGGGCTGTCAGCAATAACTGTCATGAATCTAGAAGCAGGACTAGCACAGTAGGCTTTAATTCCTGAGCACTATCACACAAAGAAATTCCTACACCTCAGCTACATCAGTCGCACTTACCTATAAATGACAGGTCTGCTTCCTCGAGCACAGAACAGGATGAAGAATGAAAAAAAATGAATCTAGGTAGGCAAATATAAAATTACAGGCATAATGCCTACCTCATACCACAAACAAAATTCATTCCAAGTTTATTATCAATATAAATATGAAACATATGTAAACACAGGAGAATAACTTCAATACTTCATGAAATACTTCTTCACATCTAATTATGAAGAAACAAACTGAAAAATTGGACTCTATTAAAATTAAGAATTTCTGTTCAGAAAGACTATACACTTCAACAAAAAACCATTAAAGAGAGTGAAAAATCAAATTTCAGAGTGGGAGAAGATATTTGCAACACATACTTGACAAAGGCACATACCCAAAATATATTAACATTACTCCTAGAAACCAACATTTAAAAATATAACCCAATAGAAAAATGTGTAAGAAAGCTGAACAAATTTTTCACTAGAGGATACCCAAATGATATCCAATAACATATACAAGTAATCAATTTTATTAGTAATCAGAATAAATGCAAATTGGCCAGGTGCAGTGGCTCCCGCCTGTAATCCCAGCATTTTGGGAGGGCTAGGCACGGTAGCGTGCACCTGTAGTCTCAGCTACTAGGGAACTCGGGTGGGAGAATCACCTGAGCCCAGGAAGTCAAAGCTGTAGTGAGCCGAGATTGTGTCACTGCACTCCAGCCTAAGCAACAGGAGACCCTCTCTCATTAAAAAAAAAAAAAAAAAAAAAAAAAAAAGCAAATTAAACACACGAGATGCCACCGCACACTTACAGAATGGCTCAAAGTAAAGAGAATTTGAATGCTCACTACTGGTTAGGATGCCGCACGGTGGAAGTTCCCAAACAGCTTGGTGGGAGGTTAAATTGTGAAGAGTCTTGGAAGCCATTTGACAGTATCTACTCAATTTGAACACAAGCATACCCTAAAACCCAGCAATTTCACTTCTAGGTATTACCAGTCTAACAGATAAAGGTGTATATATTTTCGCCAAAAGAATAGAATGTTCACAGCAGCTTTGTATTTGGCATAGCCTCAAACTAGAAATAATTCAAATGTCCACTAACACCAGAACTAACAAATAAATTGTGGTATATTCATATATACCTTATATTCTATGGAATATAACAATGAGCATGCATAAGCAATTACTACACAGAAAGAAAGCCAAAAAACAGAAGAATACATACTGTGTGATTCTATTTATATAAATCTCAAAACAGCTTAACGATGGGGTTAGAAGTCAAGACAGTGTTTAGTTGTGAGAAGGAGGAAAGGAGTCACGATGGTGGGCAGAAGGGAGGCCTCTGGGTTCCTGGTAATGTTCTGTTTCTTCTGTTTCTTGACCTGGGGAAAGGCTACCCGAGTGCATTCATTTGTAATAATTCATGATTTGTGCATTTTTAGAAGTCATACTTCAACTAACAAGCTAAAGACATTGATGGGTTTTCTCCAAGGTTTTTGTAATGTAACTGTTAACTCCTAAAAGCCTTGTTATTGTCTCTTAAGTTATGATCCCAAGAAATATCCAACTGGGTGAGAGACATAAGCCTGACTTACTGTGTGACCTAGGGCAAGTCACATAACTTTCTAGGTCTGCAGTTTCCTTAACTGTAAAACAAAAACATTGAGAATTAGCATTTTCTAAGGCTTTACCAGCTCTAAAATTCTATTATTCAAAGTCATTAAATTCTCATTGTTTTAGTTTCCACAAGAACAATAAGGAAACAATGGCTGTCACTCTATACCTGAAACATTTCCTGGAGGTGGTTTCACATGTTAATGGTAAGATGAGTGAAATGTTACCAATAATCTTTAATTTACTGAGTATTAACTCTTCCACTAGTACAATAGAAGCAGGACTCTTACAGAAGGTATTGAGTGACAAAGTAACTCTTAAGGTGAATACTGATGTGGTTACAGCCCACATGTGGTCTGTCATAGAATTACCCATAAACAATGTTTGTTTTTCTTTCAGACTCAGGAAAAAATATCTGTTAGTCAATATCTCCATGATCTCTCTTCTCTGATCCTCTCTGCCATGCTGGCAAGCTTTGCTTTCTCATCAACCATTTGTAATAACACATAATAATGATGCAATAGATGACTAAGAAACTATTAAAAGAACTATTTTTGTCTTTAACAGAGGAAAAAAATCGCATACAAACTCATACAAATCAAAAATTTTACAGTACCCCATTAAGATACCAATAGGTAAAACGACAAACAGGAAATTCAAAAGTGTATAAAAGTATTCAATCTCACTAATAATAAGTTTTTAATGGTACTATCATTTGTTACATGTAAAATTGGTGAATACTTTTAATTGTTGGCAGGTATTTGTTGAAATGGGCACTGTCACACATTACTCAGGGGGGTTTAAACCCATACAAATCTTTGGAATAACAATTGGATATGTATATCAAAAAAACTTTGAAAGCTTCATAACTTTGATTAATAATACCACTTCTAAAAATGAGAAAAAAATTCCAAATTCTAAAAATGTATAATACACAAAAATGTTGTTTTATTTATAACACTGAAAAATAAAAGTAACCTGTGATCTCATTTATGTATGGAATCAAATAAAGTTGAACTCATGGAAGTAGAAAGTAGAATGATGAGTTGGCGTGGGCATGCGTGGCTCCCACGCTGTTAATCCCGCACCTTTTGGGGAGGCCCTAGACAGGCGGAATTCACCTGGAGTTTCAGGCATTTCCGAGCCAGCCTTGGGCAAAATGGTGGCAACCCTGTATTTCTACTGAAACTATTAAAAGAATTTAGCCAGGTCATGTGACGCCATGCACCTGTAATTCCCAGCCTAGGCATAGGGGCTTGAGGCGCAGGAGATCTGCCTTGATCCCTGGACGGGTGCGAAGGTTGCCCAGTGAGCGAGTCATGCCACGTTGCCTCCGCAGTTTGAGCCAACACAGAGCGCAGATCACCACCAAAACAAAAAAAAGAGTTTAGAAATGGATGTTTTCTTTTAAGAGTTTTGAGGGGAGTTGGAAGCAAGAGCCGTTTTTCCTTGATCAAAAGTGTACAAAATTTTTCGGATTAGAAAGAGTTTTTTTGGATCTACTGCAGGCGGTGACGTATTAGCTCAATAATAATGTTCACTGCTATTATTTTAAAAAATTAGCTAATAAAGTAAACTTTTCAAATTGTTTCTCTCGCATAAATGCAATAGCGTTAAGAGAAGTTTGTAGATATGTTAATGTAGCTTGGCATTAATCATTTTCCACTGATATATGTAAGCGCTAAAACTGAGGGCTGGAGCCCGAACTTGGCGAACGCAAGACACAAGGCAGAGATGCAGTGAGGAATTAGCCTTATTAGGATTCGGTGGGCCGAGGTTTTCCCGCGTCCAAAGGTGCAGGCAAGGAAGTTTGCGCTGAGGGGAGGAATGTTAGGTTCTTATTAGCCTGGACGAGGTTTAGGGAAAGGCTGGTTGTGCCAAACAGGGCCTGGGGGGTTGTTTGAAACTACTTTAGGGCAGAGTTTGAGTTAAGGGGTCACGAGGAAGGGCGTCTTTGGAAACTGTGTTAACTGAAACTGCTTTGTTTTTACGAAACTTTGTGGAATGCAGGTGAGCTGCAGGTCATTGGGGTAGTGCTGGTTGCCCCAGACCGCGAACTCTGATTGCATTGTAATCTTGCGGGGGCTGGTGTACAAGGTGAAGGTCAACAGAAAAGCCACGCGAACCCCCGCCGAAACGCCCCCGCTAAAGAACATAACAAAAACACACACGTGACCTAAAAGGTACAGGGTCTGCCGCGCGCAAAAGAATTCATTTATGGATTTTTTCCAATCAACAAGCTAATATTTAATACTTAATTTTAAAACGCATTTTGGCCAAAGGGAGGCATCGGCCTTTCTTTGAAAAACATTTTAAAAACAAACAACTTTTTAAAACAAAGGCCAGGCTCAGTGGCCTCATGCGCCTGTAACCCCAGCACACTTTTGGGGAGGCCAAGGTAGCGAGGATCACTTGAGGTGCAGGAGTTCAAAGGACCAGCCTTGCAGTAAATATAGCAAGGACACTGTTCTGGTATAAAAAATTAAAAAATAATTAAAATATAAATAATCCTATTTCCAGATAAATTAGAGTACATCAAACAACAGAATTTTTACTAATAAATATTTATTCTTTAAAAAAGGATCTGATCTATCATGTAATCTTTGGAATTTTTTTTAAAAAAAGGTTGAACAACCTGGAAAAAAGAGGTATTAAGTGGTAATAAGAATGTGAGCGAGTGTGAAGCGAAGTTTAACCAGAAAAAGAGGAAAACGACGGCCATATTTGGTGGAATCAGCGGGAGAAAGGGTGTCTTGTGTGTTTTGTGTTGAGGAGGTGGGTGGGAAAGGTGTTTTGCGAACATGGAATGAGTGATTAAGACCATCACTTAATGAGTGTGCTGGACACGATAATCAACACATAATGGATTTTTAGTGAATAAGCATCACAAGATCTTGATTGGTTTACTTAAATGGGGAGTTTCCCGCCTGCACAAAAACTCTTCTTTTGGCCGCCACCAACGTTACAGGAATGGAGCTTTGCTTTGCCTCACTCACCTTTTCGTTGGCCATGATTTGTTGAGGCCTTTCCTAGCCATGCTGAACTTATGAGTCAGATGAAACCTCTTTCCTTTTATAAATTTATTTCCAGTTTGGTTATGCTTTATTAGCAGCATTTTGAGAACAGACCTAATTAGGACACGATTTAGGTAGAAAAGGCTTAAAATGGAGAACTAGGTACTGTTTCTGCCATTTATTTTGAGAGTATTGTATTGCCAAGCATGTTTGGAGAAAAGGTTGTAACAGCCTAAAAAAGCCAGTGAAAGTCGGAGGCTATAATTAGCAAAATCAGGCCACTTATTCGCCAAACGCTGTAAACATCCTCGTATATGTACACAATTAAATGCTAATCAATGTAATTTATGGTACACAGATTAACCTGTCAATGTAATTGGCGGTTTCCATGGGGCTTGTGGCATATATATTCAAACAGGAAAACTGATTCCTTGCGGATTTATTCGATGGAGGTAATGTATGGACAGCCCGGTTTCGTGCTTGCCTGTCACTTGGGGACCAATGGCCGACCTAGCTCTTAGTGAACATGTATAAGTGACTCCTGTGGAAAGCAAAAAATGGAATTTTAAAATTATAGGCTCAGAAGCTATCAGCGCTCCTGTAGACCTTTGAGACTTTGGATTCAATTCATTATTTGATTTTTCAGGATGCAAATTGTCAACCAAAGGAGAAATTTAATCAACATGATACACAAAAATATTTTATAGACTTTGTTTACCTTTTTTACCCAGAAAAATCTATTCTTCTTTTACAGCTGGGATGGCATGCTATCTCCTAGGCATCATATTCTCTAAACTCTGGAGACAGAATGAATTACTTCCTCCTCCACACTCAAATACTGCTGGAATAATACTTATCACAATGTACCATAAATAATTATTTATAAGTTTGACTATCTTGCTAGATAACGAATTTCAAAAGGGCAAGGGCTATAGCTTATTCAGTACTAAATGAAATGCCTGGCTACAAATAGGTCCTAGTAAAAATTAAAGATACGAGTTAATACTGAGTTACCCAAAGAAGTAATTCACAAGCAGTCCAGTGAAAAGAAAACTAATACTGAAAGGCAATGTCTACTTATTTAGTGTGGTATCCTCTAACTTCTTCTTTTAGGTCGCCCTATTCAGTATAGTATAGTAAAACTGTAAACTCAACATACTACCCCCACCATTGAGTTTCTCCTGATTTCAAGCTACAAAGATCGTTTGTTCTCTGCACTCTAACACTTTTTAGTGTG